GGGCTTATCATTTGTAACTTACACTCAAAACAGAGAGACTACCACAAGGTTTTATATACCATAAATGCAGCATTCACCTCTACTAAGTGAGTTAATAGCCTTGAAGCCGCTATGAAACATGTGCTAGGAAAAGGCTTCCTATTGCCTGGATGCAAGTTGTGTGTCACTACTACAAATCCTCTTGGTTGTCATAACAACAGAAAATGAATACCATTCCGTATCTTAAAACTCCAGAAAGAAGCTATTAGCAACACATTTCTTCCCAAAGAAGCAGCTAATTAAAACTGTAAATAAGGCTGTGTTGGGTTTCTACATACTCCGGTGAGGGCCTGTCTCATGAAGAACCATACACAGAGGGCTATGCAATTGTTCTATGTAAAACTGGTTAGGACTTACTTCTAGCTACCCTCACTCCCAGCAGAGAAGGCCCACTCCAGGTATGGAGAACTCAGTGACAGAAAATTAAGAAAGAAGAAGTCCCCAGACAGCCCAGGAAACCTGGCTTTCTGAAGCACTGTAGGAAACCTGCATTGGACTTTTTCCTACTGGGCTTAGAAGGCAAGAGCCATCACTATTATTGATCAGAAAACAACAACAAACAAACAACACCCCCCAAAAAACCCATGATATGAGAATCTAAAGTAACCAGTTTTAGCCTTTCTCTTCCAGATTTGTTCATGTATACACTGAGCAGGGCATTATCCCACATTCTCAGTGTGTTTAATTGGTGAGCTTTATTGGTATCAATTCATAAATAAAGTCGAGGAAATTTCCACCCAGGATTTAGGCAGTTATTTCCAGATTATGTGCTAAATTAAACTCACATCTCCATGTTGAAGCTCCAAGCCCTAGCATCTCAGAATGTGTTCACATTTGGGGAGAGGGTTGTTATGGCAGTAATTGATTTAAAATGCAAGCCGTTAGTTTGGAACTCTGACTAATTCAACCGGTGTCTTACAAAGCCAGGAGGCCAGGACATGGAGACACACCAAGGGTATATGTATTCAAGGAGCGAAGGCTATTAGAGAGCACACCAATAAAGACACCTTTTTTGTTTTTAGCAAGAGATAGAGACAGAGAGACAAACAGAGACAGAGACAGAGACAGAGAGACAGAGACAAGAGACAGAGAGACAGAGAGACAGAGAGAGACAGAGACAGAGAGATAGACAGAGAGAGACAGAGATAGAGAGACAAACAGAGAGAGACAGAGACAGAGATAGAGAGACAGACAGAGACAGAGACAGAGAAAGCTGGAACTGTGCTCTTGTGTCCACACAGCCAGAACTGCACGATAAGACATTTTTGATATCTGTGTCTTGTTGTGATGGTGTTGCTGGGGGTAGAATCCCGGCTCTTGAACACACTGGGCAAGTGCACTACCACTGAGCTACAACCCTAGTTTTTAAAAAAGTTCTGACATTTAAGGCTTACTGGTTGAGGTAGTTGCTATAACATTCCTAGAAAACAAATACAATCAGTAACTGTCACCTTAGCTAGAATTATATATTTAATCAGTAGATAAACAGTGGACACAGGGAAGAAAACATAAAGGGGTAATTTGTGAGCTAATGGCTTTAGATGCAATTTGGTATACCTAGGGATTAATAAACGTCAGTTCATTCACATATTATTCATGATTATCAGTGAGTGAACAAGGAGCTTGTTTGAGCCAATGCTGGTTGCTGATGGACAACACACCTGAGCCCCCTCCTCACCTGAAGCCACCCCGCCTCTTTCACCCTTGCAGCATTCCTTGCTGTGCTGACGTGAAACTACTGGTTTGTAATCACATATTTACGGTGAAGCCACACATTTAACATCTGCTTCCCTTGTGAGGCTCTGTAGGACCTAGTCTTCTCTGTTTTTGTTCACCCCTGCAGGCCCACCATCCGGCACGATACCTGACTCTCAATAATTGTTCTTGATTAAAAGAAGCTATCAAGTTCTTGAGCTCTGAAATTGGGGAAGAGTTATTATATGATTTGAACTGTATTGTTTCCCTTGAAGGTATTTAAAGAGTTTGTGTATGTATACATTCCCCTGGGGAGAGAACCCACAAGCTTAGTTTTATATAATAGGGCTCTGTGACCTCCCAAAAGGGAAGAATCCCTGGCCTAATTCAGTAGTAAAACAAGACTAAACAGCAAAGGACTCACCTGTAGTTTCAAATAGAATATGCTACAAAATCATTTATATGCACAGGTGTGTGTGTGTGTGTGTGTGTGTGTGTGTGCTCCAAGAACAGAGACTGAAATGCCTCAATGAATTTGCAGAACCATCCATATTCCTGCCCCTTTCCTCTACTCTCCCTGAAGACCTGATCATTTCTGTAGTCATTGGCTGGAGTAGTGAGTAGCTGCTGGCATTCATCTGTTTCTTGGCAGTATCATTCATCATCAAGGCCAGGGAAAAAGCCTGTAATTCTCTCCATTCACCTGTTTGGAATGCTGCCATCCCTCTTTGTAGGAAGCCCCTTTTAATAACAAACCTGTAAACTTCCCAGGGAGCAAGGACACCGAGCTGTGTTTAGGGAGCACTGGTGCCCATGCAATTTGATCAAACAATCCTGGGATTTCCCTTCCCTTTCCCAGCAGCCCAAGAGGAGATCCAGCCTAATCAGGCTACAGACGCCTCCCCTCTGCCTGCTGCTGAAGCATTCACCCAGGAGCCAGCAGACGGGCTCCTTCACACTAATTGGCTGTTGGGCATTAAACCTTTCATCTCCCAGTTCCAGAAGACACCGCTCTTCGATATTTCTTCCCTTGTTTGTGTCCTGAAAATGACTTCCACAGTAAATTTGTCAGAGTAAAGGTTTTCAATGTGCCATTAACTCATGGTTACCCACACTAACTGGGGAGAGCAGAAATGCAGATAATACAAAGCCAAGGACGCTTTCTTTCTAGCTTTCTAATGCACGGCTTCAAGGGGCTTGGTGGCAGACTTACTTCCCTAATTATGTTTGTCTTCGTTGCTTATTAAAATGAGTTTGACTGCCTTCGGGCTTGGGAGTTCAGTGATGTGAAAATTCTGACACAGAATTTGTGAATGTCATCAGGGAAAAGCCACAAGGCACACAGATAATCAAACCTGACTAGATTTGAGTGCACAGTCCTAATCACCTGTGATCAATTACTTTGTTCCTGTGGGGCTGAGTCTGGGGATAAGAAATGATGGCAGTTGGAGGGAAGGAGTCTTTACATTTAGATGAGAACGCAAGACTGCGCTGCGGTCCAAATTGATCACACAGTCACGTTGGTTTTCCTACCTGGACTCACAATCTTCTTTTCTGCAGCCAGTTATCTTTCTGTGCAAACCTAATCTGTTCATCTTTACCCAACAGTCTTTGCTGGCTCCCTGTGTTTGCCATTATGCCCTTTCACAACTAGCCAGGTCTCTCTGAAGCAGAAGGACCCTGCCCTTTCAAGTACAGGCAGTGCTTGGTTTGATGCTGGCCAGTGAAATGGGCAGGAAAGCCAGCCAATGGAGTGTCACTTCTAGTGGAAAGTCTCAGAGACAGCTGTGTTTGGTTTCACATTTTGTTTGGCCACACAACTGGCAGCAGCTGAGATGGTGGCTGCTCCAGACTGTTGCTGGTGCCTGTGATGGGCCTACTTCCCACTAGCTAGTGATGAATGTATACCAGGAACAAGAAACTCTTGCTCTCAGCCGCTTAGATTTTAATGTCCTTAGTTAACTTAGCAGATCTGACACTGCACATATCAAGCTACACTCTGGCTGTTTTCAGCTCTGTAAGTAGACAATGAACAACTGAACGATGCAATCGTTTCTTCTTCAGCATCTGAAGTCCAGCATAGAGCACATCTAAGACAAATTGGTTGGTTGACTATGAAATTCTTTTCCTTCTTGGCTCCTGCCATAGTCCAGGTTCGTATTTTTCTAGCACTCTTACAACTCCCAGCATAAAGCCGCCAACAGGTAAAGCACCTTTGGTTTTCAGGTGTGTGGGGAACGGTGGAGCTATTCCTCTGGACCAAAAGCCAGAAGGAAGGCCTCAGCGAAAGGCATCTTTGGTGGCGTACTCAGGCTCCATATGTTTGGAATATAATATGGCTTAAGGACAGAGAAGATTTCAAAAGGAAACCTTGGAACTACCACACAGAAAACATGGTATTCACAAAGCTAGGTTTCACATGTCATCCAGACTAGACTCACAAGTCCCCGTTTATCATAACACCAGCATTTACTGATGACTTACCAGTCACCAGACGCAGTTCCAACTGCTTTACAATTAACTCACTGATTACCCAAGTAACCTTCTAACATAGTGATGATTTATATTTCACAGATGAAATGGAGGTAAAGAATAATGAAACATGGAGGTGAACTCTCTATGGCTACATTGAGAGAACACGCTCTCCTCTTCATCCTCCTTGAACACTCCTATCAAGTATGCTCACTCCCTCTGTGCTCCACCCCCACCCCCACCCCCATAAGCCACATACTGCCGATTCCACAAACTGCCATTCTCTAAAAACTCCTGCCTTCTAGACCAACATAAAATGTTTCTTCTTCCTTCTCTCCAAATCAGCGTTCAAATATTTGAAGGCAGCAATCATGTGTCCCATAGGGCTATTCTTCCCACTGTAAGCAGCCACAAGTCACTCAACACTTCCCAATACACCATAGCTTGAGGCCCTTCTCCATCCCTGCTCAGTGACTCATACTTGCTAGGAACCAAAAACATGTCAGTGAAGTCAGTGAAGTGGAACTGGTGACTCGCCTGTCTTTTAGTCTTGTGCTGAGCTAATGGCCCTACACACACATTCCTTTCATAGTGTGAAGTAGGGTCATGTTCTGCTGTAGGGACAGCTGGCTGGCCCGGTGCCCTCACAGGTCCCCATTCTGGCACATGGACTGCTAAAAGATCTGCTTGGTCAGTGCTCCTGGCTCTAACTCAAGACTGCTCCTCCTCCTTCTTTACCCTGTTCCTTTCTTGTCCTATCCCAGAGGCATGCTGGGAATGGCCTTTCCACTCACCATGGAGTTCATAGCAAAGTGATTGTGCTGTGTCTGGAGGTCTAGTGCATGCTGGTAGCTGACTCCGATCTCTGTGTGGCTCTGAAGAAATAACTCCTTGTTGTGGCTTATCCAGTCGAACATCTAGAAGGGAGAAGATGGGACAGAGTGATGAGAAATGTCACAGGTCAATCAGGACGAACCATTCAAAGCTGCAGAAAGAATAAAGCCCTCCAGCTGATTCCCAGGGAGAAGCTGTCTTCTCTCTGGAGTCAGCATGGGCCACAGTCTGGTTTCAAAGGAGACCCTCATGTTTTAGTACAAATATCTACAGGCAGTTTCTGTTTCTCTCTAGAGCCTAAGGTCAAAAGAGAACACGAGGGAGAGAACTGAGGAGGTGGGGTAGTGGTGTTTATTAACAGAGGTAGCTACTGCCCCTTTGTAAAGCCTTTAGAACACCCCAGGAAGGCCCCACACCTGCTTTGAGGTTAGGCAATGACAGAGAAAGCTGGGAGGCCTAACCTACTCTTTTAGGTAGCCATGTCTCCTCCAGGCAGCCTACACACAGAAGGGAGTTCTTAGCTCTTTAGGATGCTGGATCTAAGCTAACCAGTGCATGATTCTTCCCAACCATTCAGTCTGTCTGGGAAATAAGATTGAGACCCAAATCAATACAATAAGATGTGAGAAGTTTGCCAGTTCTTTGGATGCAGTTTCTGTCCTGCATGTCACCAACCTTACTTTGCTGTAGCCATCTGCTGGAGGCCAATGGAGAGGAAAGGGTGGAGTCAAGGACCTGAGGGGAGAACCCCTCTCTATTTTTCGCCCCCGTTTAATTTAGGGTTTGTAGAGATTGCTGCCCAGAGCAATCAAGCGAGACAGCTAGGAAAGGTGTGAGCAGACTTGTGAAGAAGAGCACTCTTCTCAGGCGGGCACACCAGGTTTACATGCATCTGCATGCGTGCGTGCGTGTGTGTACACGTGTGCATGCCAGCACACGTGCGTGGGGATGGGGGTGGGGGTGGGGAGGGTAGTGCTGTAGCCACTGCCAGGGTGGGGAGAGGAGCAGATGAGCTCTGAGACAGGGATATGAAGGCTGCACCAGCTTTCCTGTGCTAGCTCTTCCCTTTACAGAAAAGTAAGTTTGCTTTTCCAGTTGCTCAACTAGTATATATGGGATACCTGCCATGTCCAAGGTGACAGGACCAAAACTGAGTTTCTTCAAATTAGGTGTCTTCTTATAAATTGTAGAGAACTTATGTGGACTCAGGTTCTGTTTATTTATTTATTTTTATTTATCTGGGACTTTCATACATGAATACAACACATTTTCATCATTGGCACCCTTCCCTTCCTCTCTTCGACATTCTCTCTCAAATCCATGTCCTCCTCTTCTTCTATAATTATTTGTGTGTGTGTGTGTGTGTGTGTGTGTAACTTAAATCGCAACTCTAAAGGTCTGCGAATATGATAGAGGCTAATTTGAAATACTAGCAGAGGATAAAGAACAATATATCCCTCAGAAAAGAGGATCCTGTGCTAAGCCTTGACTTTGAGAAGAACCAGACAGGTGAAGGCCAGCAGGCCAAGCGACCCTGCAAAGGGAGGGTGGAACACAGGGTGGAAATCGGGGCAGCCCAATATGACACAGGTATTGAAAATACCCCAGTGGTGCTTTCTGTGCCTGGCTTGACAAAATAATGCCGGGGAGGCGGGGGCGCAGACTGACTATGAAGGGGTACGTGCTTTAGAGTTGTGGACTGCTACTGATAGCATGGTGTGAACGAGCTGTGGCAGCAGTCTAGGATGTAGACTAGGGAGAGACAGTCAGAGGCCATACTTAGGGGATGGCACACTAATCCAGGCATAGGTGGGGGCCCGGAGAGGCAGTAGAGTCAGAGAAGTAGATAGGTTTGAGAGCCCTTTGGGCAGGACCTCCCCAAAGTTCATCAATACTTGGAGGGCGAGAAAGAGCTGGTGAGACCAGCTATAACACACAGGCTCCTGCAATCCCAAGTCCCACCACGGGGGCTGCTGAGAGACTAAAGGTGGGAGACATAGTGGGCTATAGTTTGAATGCCCTGCCTTTCAGAGGCATAGGAGAGTTTCAAGCAGATCTTCCTGGTGGCAATTAGGTTTGTGTGTCTGGGGGCCTAGAGAGAGACATTAGGGCTGTAGAAACTCATGCCTGAACATAAGAACATTAGCTTACAAGTGCTTATCTGGAGACTCTCCACCAGAACTACTCAAGTAGCAGAGGGTTTATTTCAAGTTGGGGTCTCCTGAACAGGCTGAGTAGATATCTGCTGTGTGTGCTATTCTGAGTCTATCAGCGCAAGGTGACCCCACATTGCAGGCAGCTGGCCAGAGCTCCCCTAGACCCTAGTTAACATTAATGATGAAGAGGGAAAGAAGACAAGTGCTGGAGTTTAGAGGATTCTCATTCTGCAATTTTTGATCCTTAAAAAATTTCCCCCCAAATCCCATTTCAAAATAATTTTTCATCCCTTCCCTTTATTTGCAAAAGAACCAAGAAAGTTAATAAAAATCTGAAATGTCCAAAGTCCTTGGGACTTGTGATGATGAAAGTGTTCACTCCATGTCCTTTGTCTATCTCAGCAGCACGGAAGTGACTTTGTATTTTCTGTTGAATAACTATCTAGATACGCAAACAGACAGATGAGGGATGTGTGTGCCACAGTGATTAGACTGCTGGACACCAGGTCCTTGCTGGGCTGCAGACAGGAGAGCTGCACATAGGCCAGGTGAGGTAGACAACAATGCAAAGCAAGGTAAGAGGCAAAACAGAAATGGCCACAGCCGCTGTGCACCCTGCTGAATCAGCTCCTCCAAGACTGATGCTAGCCCCGATGCCACTCCCAAATTCATGTTCTGCTCATGAACTGCTTACTGGTAGTGAGGCACCCTGACAAAGTTTATCTTGTTCTGGAGAAAGTGGAGTAACATGTGTTCCAGGAAGAGAACATGTGTTCTGGGGACTCGATGGTCTCATGTAAATATGTATTCTGACCCAGGAGAGCCATAAAACTTTTTAGAAATCTTGATTGAAACATATACATATAATTCATTATATATCATATTTCTGATACAATTATGTTACATATTCTGATTTTCAAGGGACAGTGATTCCTAGAATAAAAGTGAGCATGTTGACTTACAAATGGCACATTTTTGAAACCCATGAAAAATAATTTTTCTATTCAAAACAAAAATTAGTTTCATGGAATCTTCTGGGTTAGAATATATATTCATTGCTAGAGCTTATATTTCTAGCAAATGAATTAAGGAATGTTGATATGGGATATCTTTCTGTATGCTGCGAATATGTGTTGCTTTTATTGATTGGTAATAAAGCTGTTTCACCAATGGGAAGGCAGAATATAGTTAGGCAGGAAATCCAAACAAAGAGAGAAAAGGGAGATGTTGTGGGGGAGATGCCATGTAGCTGCTGGGAAGGCAAGATTCCAGGGCATCACTGGGAAGCTACAGCTACATGGTAATACACAGATTAGTAGAAATGGGTTAATTTATAAGAGAGAAAGAACAAGTCAGTAACAAACTTAAACCACTGGCCAAACAATTATAAATATATATGAAGTCTCTGAATGATTGTCTTATAAGCAGCTTCAGGGACCCGGTGAATGGAAAGAAACTGGTCAAGTGGGACCGGCCTAGACAAAGAAAAGCCTTCCTTTTTTTTTATAGAATGTAGCAAGAAACTGGCCCTATTTTACAGTTGGAGAAAGCAGCTCCTTGGTCTCTGCCAAAACTTTTCTCAAGTACTTTCAAGTTCAAGTTCCAATGTCCACTTGCAATATCATCTCATAGGACCCTCAAAGAGTATCTATCATAAGGCTATTACCATCAGATCCTCTTCATGGAAAAGGCTCAGAGAAGTGAAGCCGGAATTCTAGAAGTCATTATTCCACCCTGTGCTGCGTCTACTGAGTGACAGGCTGTACACACTATGATGTCCCAGCCAAGGAAAGGTGCTTGGCACCAGATGCTTGCCATCACCCAGCTACCTACTCTCTACAGCTACATCATCAGAAGAGTCACAGATGCCTGAGGACAGCTGTTTGAAACACAGTACTTCTCGGAATAAAATGTTGCAATGAATAAAGGAAACAGCAGGGGTTAGGAGGGTGGGAGGGGAAGGAGAGAGAAAGGATGGCAGCTGGTCATGCCTAGGATTGTTAATGTCCAGAGGGAAAAAATCCTTCTAAATGGTCCTAATGGGAAGCCAGACCATTTTAAATTTGATCCATTTGAATTTGATCTATCTGGAAGACACATAAGCCAGGCTCACCTAAAGACATAAAGCAGGAATACAGCAAAAGAGAATATATCTACAGTATCTTTGGGTTCTTTATATCTCCACCCCCATGTTTTAAGAAGCTACAAAAGCTACACTAAACAAAATATAGCAGCAACAACAAAAATCCTTCCAAGAGGAAGGATCATATCTAAATAATGCAATAATCTTCCTGTCTGAACAGTACACAGTTTTCTTTGTCTTATTAAGAAAGATATTATATGTAAGCTACTTGAGGTTTTTTTCATGTTCTGTTTTAACTAAGCTAAGTAACTTTTTATGCTAGCTAACTTCAGTAAAAATACATAAATCTGGTTCTTCATAAATAGTCAATGTTAAAGGAATCTATTTAAATGCAAATTGGGAAAAAGTAAACACAAGACTTTCATTTTTAAAAATAAGATGGGGTAGCTTAAAAGGTTATTATTGTTGTGTTCTGTTTTTAATGAAGCATAACTATCTCATAGAGCAGGGATATTGAGTAAAAGTCTTGTGTTTATTTTTCTTCATTTAATGAAAGCATCTGATGTCATCTAACTTTCAAACCACTATCGTTAGTGTTGTACACTAATTATAGACTACATTGCAAATAAGATACTCACACTCAGCCTTGATGAGCTGATTAAGTAAAAGTCAGAAAATAACCCGTGGGTTTCTTCTGGCTGGATATGCACATCTTAGTCCATACAGGGACACACCCTGTACCCTGCAGCGACTCATCCATAAAAACTGTGCCCTCACAAGATCCAATAACCTCTAGTAGGTGAATATTGGTAGGCCCAGGAAACAAGGTCTCCAGTCAATTATA